CCAGTTGTGACAACTGAAAACAGCTCTGTTACAAAATGTCCCCACAGTGAGAGGGATCACCGTGTGTCTAGTTAAGTGTCACCTGGCCACAGGTGCTCAGATATTTGGATAAACATTCTGGACATGAATGGGAAGGTGTTTTTGGATGAGATAAACATTTGAATCAGTAGACTGAGTAAAGCAGATTGCCCTCCCTAAAGTGAGTGCCTCTCATCCAGTCAGCAGCAGGCCTAGATAGAACAAAAGGCTGACCCTCTGAGATAAAGGGAATTTCTCCTGCCCGTTAAGCTGGAACATCAGTCTTCTCCTGGCCTTGTGGGACTTGAGCCTATTGGCTTTTAGACTGTAATTACACCATTGGCTCTCCTAAGTCTCCAGTTTGCCAGCTGTAGATCTTGGGACATCTCAGCCTCAGATTTATGTGGGCCAATTCTCTCATCAATCAACCTCTCTCTCTCTGTACGTAATAACCGCTGGTTCTGTTTCTCTGTAGAACACTAACACACGCCAGCTGAGAACCACTGTTGTTGATTACATTACTAGACAAAATACAGTAAATAGGGAAGAAGGAAGAAAGCAAAGCAGGGAACTACTGGGCAGTGGCTAGAAGTTACCTTTCTTTCCAGAGATGGCAATTGGAAGGCACTTGAGTAGGACGCCAATTTTCTATTCACACTACGGTTGATAAGAATGGGGCTCAGTGATGCATTTTTGCCTCATTCGTCCAAGATGTTACCTGGCACAGAGACATACTGACCCCAGTGCTAGGACGACAACATTGGGCAGACCCCGCTGCAAAATGAGAACACAGTCTGTAAGTGGGACTAAAAAAAGGTTTTATGATCAAGTCACATTAATTTATTTGTCATGACAAAATACATGAAATTCACTGCTTTCATTCCAAATAGAGGATACTAAACTTTCTAAAATAATGTTTCTGAAGCAAACTCAAAGTCCGTAAGGTGGAAGAGCTCAGCCATACAACACGCACTGTTCACCAGAGTCTCCCAGATTCGCCACGTGTTACTTGTTCTTGGAAGATTTCTTCACTGGGTCTTTTTTATTGAAATCCAGTTTCTTAGAAACGAGTTTAAGTTGCTATCTGATCTAGTCTGACTAAATGACTTTATTTGGCACCAGACAGAAGAGTTGGTGGCAGCTCATGTCCAGTGTGTTGGAGCAGTGTCTCCTAAGTAACCGAGTGTGGCACAGGTGCACACGGAAACAACGGATTCTTCCAGGTCTCGAAGACAAACATCAGTCTCTGATTCCTTGCATTTAAGACATCCAGACTTGGGACTGTATAATCTTACCAGTTTTCAAAAAGTCCAACCATACAAACATGGAAGTACAGCAGAGAATGATCAGTTCTAGATTTCACTCTTAGGAATTCAAAAATTAATTATAATAAAATACCACAGAGCTACATTTAGTTTAAAACGTACAAAGACACAAATTACATTATAAAAATTCTTCATGTGGCTTATTTACCTCAATTACTACTAAAAAATGACACACTTATCAAGGATCTGGGTTACAACAGTAAGAATTGGCCTGTGCAGATAAACATTAATGAAATTGTACCATTTTCCAGACTCTCTTTTTCCATGATTAATATGTATTTCCTTCTGTTTAAAGTGAGGCCTTTCCGTTAGGAATCACTTCCAATTATGAATTACTATGTTATTATCCCCACTCTTATTTCTTGTCCCCATTTACTTTTTAGATGGTCTACATCAAAGTAATGAAAATGATATTTTCTCCATTGCTTTTGTTCCTTTTCCTATATGTAAAGAATATGTTTGGGGGAACTTTCCATGAGGCTGAAATTGGCAGGGTTTATTCCCTATAATGCCAAAGAACTAATATCCTTCTTCCTAAAGGCTAAAGAGAAGTACTGGCAGTTAAACTACAGTAGAAAAGGAATTCCAGCAACATGACTGTTTCCAAAATATTTCTAAAAAATAAGAATTGTGTCAATTAATTATTAAGTATTAAATAATATATGACTGCTTCTAAAACATTCTAGAGTTTACAGGTTGGAATCCTGAAGTTATTAAGTTTAGCTATAGAACAAATGTAGTTTTCTTTATATGGTTGCTTTTTGTTAAGAATAACCAAGAGAACTTAACACTTTTTTGTTGTTGTTGTTAGAGAAGGGTATAGAGGGGCAGAGGGGTAGGGAGAGAATCTTAAGCAGGTTCCATGCCCAGCACAGAGCCCAACATGTGACTTTATCTCAGGACCCAGAGATCATAACCTGAGCTAAAATCAAGAGTGGGACACTTAACTGACTGAGCCCCAAACTTAACGAAATTTTTTTTTTAAAAGATTTTATTTATTTATCTGACAGACAGAGATCACATGTAGGCAGAGAGGCAGGCAGAGAGAGAGAGAGAGAGAGAGAGAGAGAGGAGGAAGCAGGCTCTCCACTCCAAGCAGGCCCCGATGCGGGGCTCGATCCCAGGACCCTGAGATCATGACCTGAGCCGAAGGCAGAGGCTTTAACCCACTGAGCCACCCAGGTGCCCCCCAAACTTAACGAAATTTTAATACAAATCCTCACAACACGCCTGTGAGGTAGGTATTATTTATAACCACTTTACAAATGGGAAATCAGAAAAACAGCATGAAATAATGATCTCAAGAGACATAAATCAAGAAATTTTGTCTTTTTGTATAAGGCAGACTGCACTTAGGAGTTCTAGAATTGTGACAATATACTAATAGCAACAAATACTGAAACAAGTCTGTTTTTCTTCAGAAGACAACTATATGGAGGATCTGGAAAGAAGGGAAAATTCTAAGATGATCCAAGAAGAAAATGTCTGTTTAGTATTTGCCTAATATACTGATTAAGGTGCATATAGCATTTCCTGTTTGAAGAGCTTGGTAATCATTATGCAAACTGTACTATATGGTTAAAACTATAGCTCCATTTTGCAGACGACATGGTCAAAACTAAAGGTTTTAGCTGCAAGAACCTTTTTTATACAAAGTAAGATTTTCTTAGTAAGGAATCATGTCTTAAAAAAATACACTCAGGGCACAGCATTCATTAATCATAGTTATTTTAAAAATAGGTCTGTCAAATGATGAAAAAAATTAAACTGGGGTCAGTCCCCACAGCACTATTCACTGGTTCTCTGGAACCCACCTCTTGGGACTATTTTTCTATAAAATGGAGTTAACATTTTTCCACTTCCTAAAACAGAGAGACTATTATGAAGACTAAGGAAAGGGGCACCTGGGTGGCTCAGTCGGTTAAGCATCTGCTTTCTGCTCAGGTCATGATCCCAGGGTCCTGGGATGGAGCCCCACATCGGGCTCTCTACTCAGCATGGAGTTTGATAGTCCCTCTTCCTCTGACCCTCCCTCCACTCATGCTCCCTCTCTCTAAAAAATAAAATCTTAAAAAAAAAAAAAAAAAGAAAGAAAAGGCTAAAGAAAACATTTGCTTTGAATTTCTAATATCAAAAGGAACTATATGAATGAGAATAAAAATACAGTTAACCATTATGTTCTTAACACCCAACAAATGGAGATATATTTCAGCTTTGAATGAATGTTGTCTGCCATGGCTAATCAGCCGTAGCAAAACTCTTAGAATTTCTCCAGACCCTGCCCTACACTGCTGCTCTACTCTTCAACTCATACATACCCTAAATCCACCCTTTAGCTACACATTTCTTCTGTTAACGACCAACGACTGGGCAAGAAGGAAAGAGCAGAGTAGAAAGAAATCAGAAAAATTGTTTTCCTGAGAAAAGTAAAATTTTACTTGAAGAAGGCTAGGGAATATATAGTCTAAAATACATGAAATCAATGTTAATATTTGTGTTCATCTTATGAGATGGAATCGTTGAGGGAAGTGTAAATTTGAATAAATTGCTTGAACGACTAAAGATAAGATGAAGTTCTGACCCCAAGGAGCAACACATTTGTTTTTAACCACTCCCAGTATAACTGATCCTGTATCAGCAGCAACACATCTCAGTCTTGACCCCAGGAAGCCTTAGTCGTTTGTCTGAGGCAGAAACTCAACTACCTTAAATAATGCCCACTGGTTTCTTCATTCAGCTTTCAAGAAAAACTTATCATTTCATAATTGACCTAAGAACCTTACTGTTTACCCACAGAAAACCTTTGTGCCCTTTGAATGAGCTAGCTTAGTCTTCGAGCTCCCTTCTGACTAAACCCTGACACTGTCAGGAGATGTCCTCAGAAGGATGCCATCATAAAGGAGCTCAGAGTTTCTGCATATACTTAATTTCTAAGCCTCACAAACCAGATCTATTAACATATCTATGGGGCTTTGAACGGGGCAGCATACCCAAAAGATGAGGCTGTTTCAAAGCTTCTCTCTTTTGTTATTCTGGATTATCTAATCTTTTAAATTTAAATGTTTCAGAAACAGTTTAGATCTATCCTTTGTGGAAGTTTGACCAGCTACTCCCAGCCACAGAAAGCAGGAGAATCTATCATTTAGTCCATCAGTTTTAATTTTTCTGAGGTTATAGCTTTTTAAGTTTCACTGCTATAAAAGGGACCTAAGTTTATTCACAAAGGAAAAGCTATCATGGATTTCAGACATAGTTCTAGGACACTGACTCTATCCACTGCTAGTTTTATGGATTAGGAAAAAATGAAAACTGTGTCATTGAAAAAACAACTTTTTCAAGTGATACCTAGAAAATTAATATCAACTCGGACAGCCTAGAAAATCCTCGGACATTGAGAGTAGAAAGGTAATTTATATTTTATCATTTTCCTCTTTAACACTGATGTAAATCTCTGGTCATAAAAAAAAATCTCAAATTATTCTTACGGTCTATAAGAATGCTCTAGATTAAGGTAACAACACTGGGTGTTAGTCAGTGTAGTTCTATCTGAATCTGTCTCTACATTTATCTATCTATGTATCTTCCTATTTCTCTCTGTAGGACTTTGTTTTAATGTCTGAATCCTCTGCCTTCCTCTCTTTTCACTAGAATATTTTTTATTAAAAATGAGGTATGTTCAATGTAAAAAAAATTTAAAAAGCCATGTAAGATGCTGTAGAGCTAATAAGTAAAAAGTGATTTTAAAGCTACTTTTATTATAACTATGCCTTAAAACAAAATCTGTATACATTATAACATATAGTTATGCATTAAAATAACGTTAACTTCCTATATGGCCAAAAATATTTTTAAATAGTCTTCATAGTGGCATATTCATGTGAAAAATTAGCCAAAACTGATAGTCTAGAATATTCTTTAAAAAATATTTCATTTACTTCATTTTCAGTTCGGTTTTACTGATTCTACAACTTAAAAATTCTATAAATATTAACTCTAAAGTTCCACAGTTCCTACATTGACTTCTGATTTCTGAACTGTGATTTATGATTGTTCATAACTCTACTTGAAGGTTACCTTTTAATAGCCATATGTATCTTACAATAAGAAGACCTAATATATACAACCTTAAAACTGGATCAATGGTAAGGAAAAAAGTTAAAAGAAGTTGAGGAGGAAAATAATTTATGAATAAAAATGTATGTGAATTTTCTTTTTCAGAATGGATATAAAAATCGTGAAGGAGAAACTGCTACTCCACAAGGATAGTGTCCACATTTTCTTGTGGGAGCTCTGACTCTAAGGCACAAGATGAATCTAACTGTTCTTGTGACAAGCGAGAACTTTTCAGGGGGACATCAGACCAGCTGTCACAATATGGCTGAAACCTCTGGGCCAACGCATTGCCAAACCTTTGGCATCGGTTGTATCTGTACGATTTACCTTTGTGCGTATACATGTGTTCTAGCAATTGGCTTTTTCGGAGAAATTTATGACCACAAATGGAACAGCTGATTTTTCTTTTCCTTGAAAAAGAAAAATTACAGTTTAATTCTACTGGCTCTGTGTCTTTGGAAATCAAAGACACTTGACTGATCTGCAGGGGCTCTGTGGCCCCCTGGTTTGAGTGGTCAGGCTCCTGCTCATTCTCCTTGACAATGAAGGAGCTGAGCCTGCGGCATTCAAGAGCCTCACTATTTTCATTAAGTGGATGCACTTCACCAAGGTCATTGCTTTCCAGAATGGAAGCAGGGACACCAAATGGGAGGGATCCAGACACATGGGTATGGAGATGTTGCCTTAGGTTACTTCGGGAATCAAAACGTTCCCCACAGTAATGGCATAAGTGTACTTTGATACTGCTTTCGGTGAAAGTGGGACCTGTCCCCTCTGATGAGGGTGAGGCGTGGCTCTGGGAGATCACAGATTCTGGGTCACATCTCTCCTGCTTGATGGACACTGGGGGCTTCTGGTGCTCCTCCAAGGCCTGGGCGGCAGGATGGGCCCTCTGCTGCTCTGCAGTGCCATCATCCAGCCCAATAGCAAGAGAGAGCTGCAACTGGGGGTGGTCACCCTGGACAGCAGCTCTGTTGCCACTGTTGTTGGAAGGAGCTTCTTTGACCTCCAGCCCTGGTTTGACAGCTGTTTTTTGGGTCGTTGAGATCTGAATGCCATACAAATTTGAGGACTGCACAGTCTCTGGTGAGAACACTTGATTCATTTCTGTTGCAATGTGAGAAAGGTAGTCGGCGTGAAGAAATCGAATCCCTTCCTCCAAACGACCGTGATCCACAATCTGTTTTGGCCCTTTCCCCGTGTACATAATGTGCAACAAATAGCTGAATATGTCGGGCTGGATGTCAGTTGGTTGTATTTTTATGCATTCACTGTTAAAAACAAAACAAAAAACAGACCCACACAGATAAAATGACCAGTTGGCCTTTTAGTTAGCAGCATACAGTTGTAGGCTAATGCAATTTCTTCCTAAGAAGCTCAGACTTAGCAATCTGCCTGGATGAAATATAGCAACAGATAATTAAACATTCACAGCACACCAGCTTTATGGCCCAGCAACAAGTCTTCATGTATTCAACCTACTGGCTAAAGTTAAGAAACACACACAGATATTCTGATTAGTTTAACATTTAGTGACTCCTAAGTGGTATGCACTATAGAAGGTGCCAGGGAGGAGAAACCTGATGAAGAAAACAGAAACCTTCCTCTTAAGGAACCTAACAGTCTTTTGCATACACAACCGAAAGAACTGAAAACACGGACCCAACAGACACCTGGACACCAATGTTCATCACAGCATTATTCACATTAGCCAAACGGTGGAAACAACCCCAAGCATCCATCAATAGGCGGATGGATAAGCGAATTGTGGCATATACAGACAGTGGCAAATTATTCAGCCAAAGAAAGGAATGACGTTCTGAATGATGTTACAGCATGGGTGAACCTGGAAAACGTTTGGTAAGTGAAATAAGCCAGACACAAAAGGACAAATTTTGTATGATGCCACTTATAAAAAATATCTAGGATAGGCAAATTCAGAGAGACAGAAAGTAGATTAGAGTTTACTAGGAGCTTGGGTGAGGTGGGGAGATGGGGAGTTATTGCTTAATGGGTACAGAGTTGATGTTTAGGGTGATGCAAAGTTTTGGAAATGCTAAGTGGTGATGGTTGCACAACACTGTGAATGTACCTAATGCCAGTGAACTGTATGATTAAAATGGTTAAAATGGCAAATTTTATGTTGTCTATATTTTACCAAAATAAAAAATATTTAAAATGTTAAAAGAATCCATTAAAATTGGTAATATTTGGAACTTAAGTTACACTAACCTTATTTTGGCTTCCAAACTATAGTAATGTATCTACTCTTTAAATCACAACTGAATATAGGTACAACTGAAAAACTTCAAAATAACCCAAGCTCAATTTTTAAACATGAATCTACAATTCAGATAATAGAAATAACAGCATAACAAGAAATCAGGAAATACCCTGCAAAATTAGGATAAAGAGAACCTGAGGGGAGTGTTGGAGAAACAACGGCCCCAGTCAATGGACTTACTTTCCCTGAAGCAAATGTTCTGTCTGCTTCAGAATGCACCGGGTGTCACATGCTGGCAAGCCATTGCTTTAGTCCCCATATCTCAGGATTCCCTCTCGGGTTTCACTCTTAGCTCTCACCCACCCACTTCCAGGGTCTATGGGAGGGGTTTTACATATCAGCACAGAGCTGTTAACTGAGGACTTTTAGTTGTTCAACAGAGATACCACATAGCCAGGCCTGACACCTTTATATCTCTTGGATTTAGTTTAGCATGGTGCCTGGCACACAAACAGGTTTTTGGGAGCTGAACCAACTCCTAGCTCTTAGACAAGACTGAGGTGAAGGCACTGTTTCTAATCCAGTTTCTACATTGACACTACCCATAACATATCTCCCACTCCAACCTCCTCCCCGCTTTGTGCCATGCATTCCAACCATTCTGGTCTACTCTGTTTCCTGAATATACTAGCCCAGTTCATGTCTGCCTATGTTTTCATACACTTTTCCCGTCTGCCTGCAATGCACCTTCTTGCATTCCTTTACAATATCTGAAAAAAATTCCTCCTGATCCTTCAAGATCCAGGGCTTCTGTAAAGCCTATTCCAACCTCCTCAAAATAGGGCTACTGACACTCCACTCTACCTCATACAACACTTCTATTATAGACGTATCACATTAATTATTGATAACAGTAGCTGACAGTGCAAAGCTCTGTTCTAAGCATTTTAATATTAATCCATTTAATCTCAACACCATTGGGTAAGTTTACATACTATGCCAGTGTTTGACAGAGAAGGAAACTGAGGCACAGGCAGATCAATTACATCGCGATTGTCTTCTTTACATGTATTCTCTATTGAACTATGAACTCCTTGAGGACAGTGAGCATCCTAGCCTGTTACTGGGGTCTAACATAGTGCTGACATGTAAGTACCCAACAAATATTTAAAAGGATGAAGGGAAATGAAAATGTGTAATTGAGGCTAGACTCCTCTAAGTTTTTCATGAAAGGTCTTTAAAAAAAAACAACAACAGAGAATTCTATCACCTTCAACCTAGGAAGGATTAAAGCTATTCTTTAAGAGCTCAGAATCTGAGTATGAGGTCCCTGCCCACTCCCTGCATACCTGTCATGCTGGGATAACCCACATTCAAAAAACCAAAACACTTTCTGAAAAAAGTATTTGAAACAAATGTCTTTTGAACTGTGATATGGAATATAAGGTGTGTAGAATTATGACATTACACCCTTGCTATGAAAGTATTATAGAAAAGATATCAACAATGTAATGAGTCAGAACATAGATCCAAGCACAGATCTGCATTTGAGGATCACTTACTAGCTGTATAATCCTGGATGGGTCAATTCCTTGACCCAGGTTCAGTTTCCTTTTCTCTAAAATAGTATGGATAATAAATAGTAGAATGTACATTAGGTAAATACTTAGTGCTTGGGTACAGGATAAGCCTTCAATAAATTTTAGCTATACTATTGTTTTCATTTTTACCTTCCACCATGGATCCTACATACTGAGATGAATTACTGGATGTGCAAAAAAATACTTATTTTTTTCTTAAGGTGACCCCATAATAAAGAGTCCCCCAAATGATGTTATAATAAGGCTTAGCTATATCACATTAAAAACTCTTCAGATTTACAAAACCATATCCTTACCTTGTTTGGTGAATAAATATCATCTTGAAATAGTTAGAAAAAGCAGCAAGAACTGCTCTGTGGGCTTTGAAGTAAACATCTCCAATGGCAACTGTGCAATCACACAGAAAACCAAATTCTCGCTGCATGTTCAGCTGCTGCAGAAGGACAAGGCTATGGCTAGCTGTGTCCATCGTGGCTCTGAGAAAAAGGACAATTTTTTTTTTTAAACAAAATTAGCTACAGTTCACACAAACCTACAGAGTACAAAGAGACCTAAATTTAAATGAGATTATTCAATAGTTTTTAATACTGTTAATTTAACCCCAAACCTAGCTAACATTAAACCCCCCATTATAAAAATATCAATTCTGCTAAAACTGTAACAAATGGTCTTTTTCATCTGGTAAGAAGATAGCTTGGTATGAGTGACACAGAAGCAAAAGGAAGGCCTGTCCATTTTTTTTTTTTTTAAATCAATGTGACCATGTTTCTAGCCCTGTTTCCTCACGAGAAAATGGGAATGAGATATGGACCCCTTCCTCAGAGCTATATGAGTGAAGTTACGTGAAAAGCACCTTGTAATGGAAACCGCTACTCAAATGTTAGCTATAACTGTTCATATCAGACCACTGCCCTGGCTGGCCTAGAGCAGTCATTGCTCCGTAGGGATCCTCTGTGTGCTCGGGGACATTGGCCTCCTAACTATCTTAAAATATGTTTGGGAAACATATCAGTCACAATATGTCCAGGAGCCCTTAAAACAGATTATCAAGCCACATCCCCTGATTTACATATGAGGCCCGGGGACCCAATGGATTCAGACACATACAAGCATGGAGGCTCCTGAAGGAACAATAGAGAGTGGGACCACTAGTCTTGGGAAAAATCACGTATGAGGAAAAACATGCAGAAGAATTCTGGCAGAGAAGTCTAGTGTGAGCAGCAAGGGCATTCAAGAGTGCCAAGAGTTCCAGGCAGATGGGAGGCTCTACTTCAACCCTAACTGTGCGGACAGCCCCGGTGCCTTAAGGAGAAGGCAGCTGTGGTATAAAGGGCATCACTGGCCAGCTGGGAGATCCTTCTCTAAAAGAGCAGCTTCTGAAAAAAGAGAATGAAGTTTTCTCACTAGCCAGAGACCAAAGTCTAAAGAGGTCAGTGATGAGACTGTGGGGTTGCCTGTCTGGAGATTGGCCACAGCTTGGACAACAGACAGCTGAGTGATCAATAATATAATAAAACCAGCTAACACTTATAGTGCCTCCTGTGTATCAGGCACTTTTCACTCATTCAGTTCTCAATATGACTATACAAGAAAGGGATAGTCAATGCATCTACATATGAAGAAACTGAATCAGTACAAAGAACTGATTTACTCAAGTCACACTGCCAGTAAGTGGCAGAGCAGGGGATTCAAACTGGACACTGGGCTCCAGAACCCAAATGTCCTCCCTTTCCACCTCCCAGAGAGAACATGATCCACAAACTGGAGATGCCTAGGGAATGGTCAGGTTCTACATCAAGATACCTCAGGAAGCCGCAAGAATGTCTGGAAAGAGGAATTAGGGAGAAACCCAGATTTCCTGCTGCTTAATTTGTTTACACAAATCTAATACAGAAACACATACTTATTAATGAATAAAGTCTAGGCTATAACTGGTAAAAAAAGAGTAATTATTATTGATATAAGGCTAAATCTATTTTTATTAAAACTATATAATTAATGTACTGATATGAAATATCAAGATAGCAAGATATATTAAGTAAAAAATGCAAAGCATAAAATCATACAGAGAAGACTACTATTTATGCAAAAGAGGGTAGAGTGGTTATTTTATTTTTAAAAGATTTTATTTATTTATTTATTTGACAGAAAGAGAGACAGCAGAAGAGGGAACACAAGCAGGGGGAGTGGGAGAGGGAGAAGCAGGCTTCCCATCAAGCAGGGAGCCTGATGTGGGGCTGGATCCCAGGACCCTGGGATCACAACCTGAGCTGAAGGCAGATGCCCAACAACTAAGACACCCAGGTGCCCCTGGAGTGGTTATTTTAAAGGTGGCAGAGAAATTTATACAGAAATGTAGTCTTGTTTATGTACACATCTTTGGAAAGGTTCAAAGAAACGAGTAAAATGTTTACTTCTGGGAGGGAAACAAGGGAGCAGGGTGGGGGAATTGTACTGTTAAAATTTAAATCCTTTTTTTTTTTCTTTTTGAGAGAGAGAAAGAGCACAAGCAAGCTGGGGGTGGGGAGCAGGAAAGGGAGTGGATCTTAAGCAGACTCCATGCTGAGCGTGGAACCTGATGTAGGGCTCCATCTCACAACCCTGAGATCATGACCTGAGCTGAAATCAGGAGTCGGACACTTAACCAACTGAGCCACCCAGGCACCCCAAACTTAAATATTTTTATTGAAGTTTAACATCACAAGTACATTCCAACATGTATTCCTTTTCCCCTCATTTTTAAAAATTATGAGTTATTTCAGATAGACAAATAGGTACAGAGCCAAGGAGACAAACACACAGCCAGCCAGCCATCTCTCCCCTCATTTTAATTACCCATTACCTTGCCTCCAAAGGTAATCACCATCCAGACTTTGGGGTTTATGACTGTCTTGTAACATCATCATGTTCTTACTGCATCTGTATGTATCTCTTAAGGAGGTATGGTATTATTTTGCATGTTTTAAAATTTTATATAAATAATACTTTAGAAATCCTGAAACTTGCTTTTAATTCTATTCATACATTACTTTTTAAAATTCTGCTTACTCAAACATTAATCTTCTCCCAAACCTCCCCAATTAAAAAATAAATAAAAACAAAACCGTTGGGGTGCCTGGGTGGCTCAGTGGGTTAAAGCCTCTGCCTTCGGCTCAGGTCATGATCCCAGAGTCCTGGGATCTAGCCCCACCTCAGGCTCTCTGCTCAGCGGGGAGCCTGCTTCCTCCTCTCTCTCTGCCTGCCTCTCTGCCTACTTGTGATCTCTGTCTGTCGAATAAATAAATAAAATCTTTAAAAAAAACCCAAAAAACCCTTACTCCTTACCATCTCATTTTAAAAGCCTTTAAGCAATGATGAAATAAGAGGGAACAAAATATCAGAATCTACAGAGACCTGAACATAAACGAAACTCCAAATTTTAAGTATTGTTCCAAAAGGCCATTTAACTAAAAGTCACTGTTTATTTCTATTTGCTGGATTCTAAAACACCACCAACTTATTACAGAGAGATTTAAAAACCAAAATAAAACTGTATGCTAGAGATTTCACCATGTGAAAAACATGTGTCTTAGATTCAATGAAATGGTTCAAACTGAAGTAGTTTAAACCAGCCTTACGAACTGTTTAAGAAAAAAAAAACCCTCAGATCATAAACATTTTCACCAGATCTATCTATACACACACACACACACTTTATATATATATATATATATATATATATATATATGCATTAGTATAATGAACTATTGAACCACATAGAAATGAGACAGGGCACACTAAAAAGCCACATATACAAAAATCTTGTGGTTAATGGTCTATGAGTAACAGTTAAATTCTTCACTTACTGAACACATTTTTTGAAGAGAAATTTAATAAAGAAAAATTATTTGAAAGCATGCATTATACAAAGCATAGGGACAGAAGAAAAATACTTACATGCTGCAACTAAGAAGACTGAAGGCTAATATGCATCCCAATGTTTATAGCAGCAATGTCCGCAATTACCAAAACACAGGAAGAGAATAAAATCTTGCTATTTGCAATGATGTGGTTGGAGCTAGAGAGTATTATGCTAAGCGTAATAAGTCAATCAGAGAAAGACAAATACCATATGATCTCACTCATATGTGGAATTTAAGAAACAAAACGATGGACACAGGGGAAGGGAAGGAAAAATAAAATAAGAGGGAAATAGAGACAGAGGCAAACCAAAAGAGGTTCTTAACTATGGGGGAAAAACAGGGTTGCTGCGGGTGGGTGGGGTAACAGGGTGATGGGCATTAAGGAGGGTGTTTGAAGTAATGAGCACTGGGCGGTATATGCAACTGATGACACACTGAATTCTACCGCTGCAACTAATAATACAGTACATGTTAATTAAATTGAATTTAAATTAAAAATTTTTTAAAAGAAGATTGCAGGCTAATAGGGGAGACAAAACATAAAATACGGTAATTATGACAAAAAGTAAAAGTGATAAATGTCATAAGAGCAGTTCAGAGAACATGCTGTCAGGGGGAGATCAGTATCAGGCAACCCAGTGAAAAATAAGCCATTTGAACTGGATTTAGATGAAGAGGCAGAAGGTGAACATAGCATTCTAGGCAGGAAAAAAGAGAATGAATAAAATTACAGGGAGGAGTGTGAATATATAGGTCACTGAAGAATTCAGTTTGGCACAGAAAAAACAAAAGTGAGTGAGTAACAAGAAATGTGATCAGCTCACACAAGGTACCGAATGTAAAACTGAAAGGTACTCCAGTTGTGTTTGTAACGAATGGTGTGAAGACGTTTTTGCAGGAGGGAGAACAGCATAGTAGTTACAGCTTGGACTCTGGAATTAAACAGCTTGGAATAAAATTCCAATTCTGTCATTTAGCTGTATGATCTCGAGAAGATGCTTAATTCTTTGGTCCTTGGTTTTACTTACAAAATATGGATAATTACAGTATCTACCTCACAGGCTGTTACATGGATTTAATAAGAAAATGCATATAAGCACATAGAAATAGTGAGGCAGGCCCACAGTAAGGGTTCAGTAAATACCAATTATCACCATCACCATCGTCATCATCATCATCATCAGGCCTGTGACTCAGGGTTGCTCTAGTAGCAACACATAGAAAAAGATTAGCAAGGAAGGGAAAGGTATGGAGAAATAAAGACCAGCAAGAAGTCCACTGCAATATCCAAGGGACAGTAGTGGAAATGAAGGAATACAAGAGATACACCAGACATAGAACTGACATGGTTTGGCAGCCAGACTGGATGTGGTCAGCCACAGAGAAGATAAAGTCAAGTCTCAGAATTCCAGCTTGGGTTACTGGAAGAATTCATTCATCCCTTCAGGTCCTATTTGCAGAGTAACTGTCATGTGGTAGGTATCAATGTAACGGCAATGTTCCAGAATGCCAGCAAAGAGGCATAGAAACTGGCTTCATAAAAGAAAAAATTCATTTTGGACACAGTGAGTTCA